AATGGCTGCCGTAGTTCCCTGTCCCCCATCAGCCTCCTTCTTCATTCTGTTGTCCATGTTTAATAAGCTAGTTCTTGTTTATGTGACGTTCCATCAGCCTTCAGCTGATCGCACTTCTAGAGGCACCAACAGTCCCGAGTGCTCAGACTGAGTATATTGTCGAGAAACAAGAACTAAGCAACATGCACCTGCAAACAGACAAACAGCCAATGACAGTCAGGACGGAAATACATGCAGCTCCCAGCGAGGGGCAGTGCGCATGCGGTCATGCGGACGAGCATATGTGAGCGTTGGGGAAGCATGTATGCACAAGGGGGTAAGACAGCAGGCATGACATGCGGTTGTGCAGCGGACATGTTAGCGCGAACATAGATAAAGGACAGTGCGAGAAGGAATACATACAAGCAGGCAAAACCAGATCAGTGCAATAAATGATACCACCGTGACACTAGCATTCTTCTACAAGGGACACATTCCTCTACAAGGCACTCTATTCAGAACAAGAAATGGAATATCTCTGCCTAGGGTGATTGCCTGGGCGTAACAGCTCCTGATTTGTGCTAGTCTCAGCTCAGATCCTTATTCCTTTACTGCTAAGTGCTATTCCAGTTCAAAACCCCATGTTAAAATTGATATATTTCTTTAATTGCCCTATGCATCATTACAGATGTAGTGCTCCTCATCACACGAGCCATATCAACAAACTTGTTCATAATAATCTTAGGCATTGTTCACTGTTCAGCATACACATTTGTTGAGTCATGATTGTGCCAGGCTGGTGCAGAGTTCATGCCTGGTTGGTGTTGTCAGTAAGCTGGTACAGATTTTCCATTTTCCATGCTACCTAGTCATCAGTACTTGGTGCAGCTAGGTTGCTCTGCTGTTATTAAGTTATGTCCACAGCTTGATTCCTTCAAAGCTTGTTTGGATTAATTTTAAGTGTGGAAGTTTCTAAAAAAAAAACTTTCAGGGAAGCATGAGACATCAATGAGTGGTTGAGGGGCATAACATTATTGACTTACATATCTTTTTATTGATAGTGTTATTCTGGGAATTAATGTCAGTAACTTCACTTAACACAGCTTTTGCTGCAGCATGATGCAGATCCTTATTACTTTTTTGCCAATATAGTATGTACCTACCTCATAAATTTATCAAATAAATATTTCAAAACATGGTGTATTGGGATGAAAAATGACATTGACAAATGACAAGTAATCCAATTATTTTTTTTAACACAGCATGTACTATGTAGAGTGTATTGAGAGGATGGCATTTCTCAACATAAAATCACATCATTATTACAAACATCCATAAAATAATTAAAGGTCAAAGCAGTAACATTACGCAGGTAACAATCTTTGTCAATGAAATGTCAAACAGATAGCCAGATAGGTAATTCATATCAAATCAATAATTCAACACAAAATCTACTTTTGTAACTGAAAAGTGATGTGCAATGATTGCCAGGAAAAGCCATATGAATCCTAACATGTCAAAAAAGGCCAAAGCACAGTACAGTAAGAAGTAAGAACCGGTCATAGACCAATACATTATTAGAGAGAGTAAGTTAGAGAGTTTATGTGACATATGGATATAAATCGAGAGAAAAACTTATGCGTAAAAAGATGTGACATAAGTGAACGCAACGTAATAACAAACTAGCGATATAAGAGAGAAAAAAGATATTAAATCGTCCTACTGTGGTGCAGTGGGGCAGTTCACCACATATCAGTGACTGGATTTTACGTTATCAGAAATGGAAAATATCAGCCTGGTGCGTGTTCCAAAAATTCAATCAGTTCGATCCAAACGGCCCCAAGTAAAAGAATTAATTTAAGAGCGGGTTGTTATATTTAAAATTACCAAAACGAAGTCAAAAACCAAAACAGCGAATCAGACAATGGAGCGGAGAAGAGACGAGAATGAAATCCAAGCTTGCCAAATATGCCCTGCCTAATCTAAGTTATAAATCCCGGACAGAACGGGCCAAATCGCGGAGCCAGACGTGACGCGTCTGCTCGGGTCAAGAGCTCGGCCTAGAATGGCGGGGGCGCGCGGTCCGACGCAGCGGGCCGGCCCCGGACATGCGCAGAAGCACTCGGACACCACGTGGCTGCGGATCGGAGCGCGGATTGGTCACTGGCCGACGCACTGCGGCAGCGCAGGCCGCAGACGCGGTCGCATCGTGATGGGACAAAGTTCACGAACAGACACGTCCTGGGCCGCCCCCCAGCGCCGGGGCGGGGTAGCGACGTCACAAGTCGGCGCGCGAATCGGTCTGCGCCGGGAACTCCCGTGCCGGCCGGCGACACACTTGGTTACCACAGTACTCACCGCCTCAGCGCGGAGCGCATACACGATAAGCCAAAACAATCACTTTTCACATCACTCGGTGCGCGACGCGATCGACACTTCACTGCGCGACGCAATAATCACTACACGGTACGGCGCAACGCAATTGTCACTGCACGGTCCTGCGCGACGCAAGAATCACTACACCGCGCGACGCAGTTATCACTTCACTGTCGACGCCACGCGATCAGGATCGTCCTCGAACGCACGTACGCGGGCGCACTTAAAAGTATCGGAAGTCCGGTTGCGGCCGGAACTGCACGCGGCGGCCGCTGCGGGTGTGCACCGGCGCAGCCGCGGACGGCTTGTCGTCCTCGTCCGGCGATGCGGAAGACGTCACTCCAGGTCTTGAAGTCCTCTTGCTGGACGGTCTTGTAGTCGTCGGCGTCTGTGTCGGCTCGTCGGGCGCCCCAGTGGCGAGGGGCCCGAGCGAGGTCGACGGTGACAGCTGCTGCTCCGGAGCCGTAGGCTCGGTACTGTTCGGACCAAGCGTGTCCGCAGGTGGCGGCATGTGTGCCGGTTTGAGTCTGTCGACGCTTACAGTGTCGTGGGCGCCAGTCGGCAGCTCCAACGTGAACACTTTAGGGCTGCGTCTGATGACTCGCATGGGGCCGCGGTACGGGGACTCCAGAGAGTGCCGCACGCGGTCAACGCGTACCCACACGTGTGTGCATGTCATGAGATCGGGTGGCACGTGTGTCGGTGGTGTGCGGGCATGGTTCGAGCCCTGTGAGAGTGTGACAAAATCGATTTCTGACATACGCTTTGCCAGTTCTTGGACGTACTTTGTGCCGACGGGGATCTTGTCGACGGCGCAGCGGGGAAACAGCACCTGCGCGCCTGTGACAGCAGTGAATGCCGAAAAACCCGACTCTGCTGGCATAGCTCTTATACCTAACAAAACTACTGGTAGCGCGCGCAGCCACTCTTGCCGGCGCGCCCTGATCGCGGCTTTGAGCGTTCGGTGGACCCGTTCCACCATTCCATTGCACGTCGGATGATAAGCAGTGGTTCGGAGGCGATGGAAACCTATCATTGAAGACAAGTGTGAAAACAGTTCTGATTCGAATTGGGAACCGCGGTCCGTGACTACATGCAGTGGCACTCCGAACCGGGACACCCAAGTGTCGAGGAAAGCAGAGGCTACACTTTCCGCGGTGATCGAGACCAACGGCACGGCCTCGACCCACCGCGTGGCGCGATCGATGCATGTCAACAAATAACGAAATGGCGCGGTGAAGGGGTGCCCGTGGGGTACTGAGACTGACGGGGGCAGCGGCCCGACTATGTCTATATGTACAGTTTCGAACCGCTGTGAGGGCACGTCAAACCGACCGGGCGGAGAACGAGTGTGCCTGTGCACCTTGGCTTCCTGGCATGCTTCACACTCCTTCACCCATCGCGCAATGTCACGGCGCATATCATGCCAGAAATAGCGAGAGCTGATGAGACGGGTGGTGCCTTTCCTACCCGGGTGTGACAGGCCGTGGAAACGATCAAACACGGCGCGCCTGCATGCCTCTGGTACGTACGGGCGTGGATGTGGTCCAGTGTTTTCACACAGGACTGTGATGTCGCCAGACAGTGTCACTGGCTCCAATCGGGAGGTGTCCTGTGGATTTGAGCGCGATCCTGGACCTGACTCGGAATCCTGGAGCTCTGAATCGGCACTGCCGGCGTCTCTCTCCTTTTCCTGCTTCTGAGCCGCCGCGATAAAATGGAGGTCACATGCATCGAGGGACACTGCATTTACCGGGCGACTGAGACAGTCCGCCACCACGTTGTCACTGCCACGAATGTACGAGACCTCCGTGATGTATTCCGTGACGACACACCAGTGGCGCTGTTGGCGGTCAGACTTAGCCGTGTGCGGGCTGTGAAAAGCGCGCACGAGTGGCTTGTGGTCTGTTCGGAGGGTAACGTGGCGGCCTTCGATCATGTCACGAAAATGGAGTGTGGCCAGATAAGCCGCGAGTAGCTCTCTGTCATACGCGGCGTACTTCTGTTGGGCCTGACTGAGCTTCCGTGAGAAGAAACCAATGGGGACGGGTATTCCGTCCACAATCTGATGGAGCGCGGCACCCACCGCGACTTGTGATGCGTCAGTAACGAGCTCGTACTGCTCGCAGTGTGGCACTGGGTGTGGCAGAGTGCAGGCGCCAGCCAGCGCTGCTTTACTGTCACTGAACGCCTGAGTCTGTTCCTCTGTCCACGTCAGTTCTTTGCTTTTTGGGTTGAGTCGAATCAGTTCTGTCAGGTGGAACGTGACATCGGCGAATCGCGGAATCATACGCCGGTAGAAGCCGATGAGTCCCAGATAGCGACGCAGTGACTCTGAGTCATGCGGTAGAGGGAGGTCCAGAATCTCCTTCACTCTGGCGTTGGGAGGTGTGACACCTGTGCTGGTGACGTCATGACCGAGGAAAATGAGCGACTTCTTCATGAACTCGCATTTCTCCAGTGAGATGCGAAGCTTGTGCTCAGCCAGCTTGCTGAACACGAGGCGCAAATCTTTCTCATGCTGCTCCTGGTTCTCGGAAAATACCAGAATATCGTCAAGATAGACGAATACGCACGGCACGTCTCGGAAGATGCCGTCCATGACCCTCTGGAATGTGGCACCTGCGTTGCGAAGCCCCATTGGAATGAAGGCGTATTCGTACAAGCCGAAGGGCGTGGTGACGGCCGTCTTCTCTGAGTCAGCGGGGTTCATAGGCACCTGGTGATATGCACGGAGCAGATCAATTTTGCTGAACCACTGAGCGTTGTGGAGCTTGGTTGAGAGGCTCTGAATGTGCGGCAGTGGGTAGCGATCCGGTTTGGTTACGGCGTTGAGTGCGCGGTAATCACCGGTGACACGCCACTCACCAGGGGTACTCTTCGGAACCATGTGGATGGGTGAGGCCCACGGGGACCTAGACGGACGAATCACTCCTGTTTTGAGCAGCACATCGAGTGCTTGCTTTGCTGCAGTTAGTTTGTCGGGCGGCAGCTTGCGTGGGCTGGCGAAAGTGGGTGGAGCGCTGCCGGTGTCGATGAAGTGAGTGGTTTTGATTGGCGAGTCTGTGTAATCCGGCTGGTTAGGGCTGAGAACAGCGGGGTGATCCTCTAGGATGGGCCGCACTGCCTCAGGCACATGAGCGAGATCATTTATCACCAAATGAACAGACTCCCCGGTCGTCGGTACACCGGGAGCAGAGAGCAGAGTGGTGGAGTCGCGGAGAACTTGGGAACCACAATCGACAACCAACGAGTTGTGAGCGAGAAAATCGTTACCGAGTAGTGGCTCTGTCACTTCAGCCACTACAAATGTCCATGTGTAACTGCGTCTGAGTGTGGGGAGGACAATATCGAGAGTGGCCTCGCCATGCACGCGCAGTGGCTGCCCGCTGGCAGTCGTGATCGAAACAGCGGACGGGTGGATTATAGTTCCGTTCACATAGGAGGGCGGAACCAGGGATACACCAGCGCCAGTATCCACGATGAATTTCAGGGGCTGATCATTCACCTTGGCTGTGACCCTAAGGAGCGGCAGGCCGAGGGCTGCGTTTACGGCCTGCTCCTCTCGTTTCCCGACTCTGAGGCTGCACGGGAGGGAGATGCAGCTCGTGAGGACGGCTGCACGGTCAGATCAGCAGCTTTGTCGGGCCAGTGACACCATGGCTTGCAAGTGCGTGCTCTGCTGCCGAAAAACAGGTGAGCACGGCATACTTTCGGCTTCTGGTCAGGATGGAACGGCGTGAGACCGAGAGACGCTCTTGAATCACGAGCATCACGAGCAGGGGAGTGTGTGGCGGCTCGGCTCTGCGGCTGAGTGGCCCTGTGGTACCTTGGGTGCTGCTGAGCCACAAGGAACGCCTGTGAGTCAGACTGTGGGTCCTGATCCTGACAGTGAACCATGTTAGCAGCTGAATTTTGCACAAGAGGGATCAGCTCGTCCGCGAGTTTGCCCAACTGCGACAGTGAGAGCTCGCGCTGAGAAGCCAGGGCCGTTGCAATGCCTGTAGGTAGCGACTGGATAAATTTGTGCCGAACGAGATCGTCTCCGACACCGACCTTGTCGGCCACCTCTCTGAGCTCGCTTAGAAAGAGTGAGGGTCGGCCCGTCAGACGCGTTTTGCTGATCAGTTTCTCAAACATCTCTGGCTTTGTCTTTTCGTACATGTCAGTGACGGCTGTCTGTAGCTCAGAGAAATTTTTGTTGCTCAAGACAGCACGCGGAATGTGCGAGATGGTTTCCGGAGGCAGGGCAGAGAGAACGTGGTAGAATTTGGTCTGCGAGTTGGTGATTTTGGCAATGTTAAATTGGGCGTCCATAATAGCAAACCAGCCGTCAACCGCGGTGTCCATAAAAACCGGCGGCTTGATCGACACATGATGGACCGGCTCAGCATGAGCGGGTTCCATCGTGCCCTCGTTCGTCATGATCGTTAAAAGTATAGCCGGTGTTTGCAATGCACTGAACAATTAAAGATTAAAACACCTGGTGCAAAATCCGAAAGAGCCAATGGAACGCCGAAATAAAATCACCGAGAAGATAAATGCCTAACTAATCACACGGCGGAGAGATGGCACAGAAACCATCATGGAAAAGTGGCGCAGAAGCCACTGTGGAGCGACGGAATAGCAATCCATGTGGGGGAATAATAGAATATAATTGATTCGGGAATGAGCGGAGGCGACAACCCGGAAGTATGGAAAAATCGAACAAGAATCACGTCGGGCTCACCAATATGTGGTGCAGTGGGGCAGTTCACCACATATCAGTGACTGGATTTTACGTTATCAGAAATGGAAAATATCAGCCTGGTGCGTGTTCCAAAAATTCAATCAGTTCGATCCAAACGGCCCCAAGTAAAAGAATTAATTTAAGAGCGGGTTGTTATATTTAAAATTACCAAAACGAAGTCAAAAACCAAAACAGCGAATCAGACAATGGAGCGGAGAAGAGACGAGAATGAAATCCAAGCTTGCCAAATATGCCCTGCCTAATCTAAGTTATAAATCCCGGACAGAACGGGCCAAATCGCGGAGCCAGACGTGACGCGTCTGCTCGGGTCAAGAGCTCGGCCTAGAATGGCGGGGGCGCGCGGTCCGACGCAGCGGGCCGGCCCCGGACATGCGCAGAAGCACTCGGACACCACGTGGCTGCGGATCGGAGCGCGGATTGGTCACTGGCCGACGCACTGCGGCAGCGCAGGCCGCAGACACGCGGTCGCATCGTGATGGGACAAAGTTCACGAACAGACACGTCCTGGGCCGCCCCCCAGCGCCGGGGCGGGGTAGCGACGTCACAAGTCGGCGCGCGAATCGGTCTGCGCCGGGAACTCCCGTGCCGGCCGGCGACACACTTGGTTACCACACTACCTTACTGCGCCATTTCTGTCGAAGCTCAAATGATTCAAGGATTTGTTTATTTCGGAGTAATGGCAAGCAATCATAAAACACTGCAAAATCTTTTTAACTATTATATATCGTTATATTTTTGTGTGCTCAGTGGCACAAACTTAACTGGGTGTACTTTTTGGTATATTGAGATGACGAACTGTGCTTTATTTCATCGTATTTGAAGAGCATCTGACCCTCCCCACAAACTGTCCCGCGCTTTTCCACCCATCACCACGCTGGACCGGGCTGGACCCGGCATCCGACTTCTTATCATGATGCTGATTGCTGGTGCCTGGTTATCGGTACCTACTGGTTGCGTTACTACAGGTAATAAAATGCTGTCTTCTCATCCGCTCTCACACGCACTCGCACCTGACAGCCTGGCCCACTGGCCGCTTCCGGCTCCGGCCACTCACAAAGGAAACCAGTGCCACCAGATGGCAGATATACCTAATGCCAACTGCCACCCATACTAATAGGTACTACCTAGTCTACGGTACCTTCTAATACCTACCTACCTGGTACCTATCCCCCATACCCCCTGCACCACCACCGTCACCACCACCACCTACTTCCCAAGCTCCATAATCGCAACAGAGCTCCTGGCTAATGGCTTTATCGTGCAGCAGCCAATTAGCGACTAGCGGCAGCGACTAACGTTACCCAGTTCGTGGTGTCGGGTGTCAATTTGTTAGCGCTGCGGCTGGGTGCCACGAGCTGATCCGTCTCGGATTGCGCCGGCGCCGCCGTCTTGTTGGCGACAAAAATGTGCGCTGATCCTCGACATTCGACAAGCTCCCCTCCTACTAGAGGTGTCAATCGGAACCGAAAATTTTGGAATTCCGAAAATTTCCGAATTCCGATTCGGAAATCAGACGGACAAGTGACAAACACATTGGACATATTCGGAAAACTAGTTGAAATTTACAAATTTCTTAAAAAAAGTTTAAGTTCAAACTTATTTCCATCATCAATATGCAAATTGCAAAACATGTCACCAAAATTGGCAGGTGATAGGTGTTTTATACATCATTCATAATTATAGTGCAAGATGAACATTAACGTGATTGCATGTAGCGGGTAGCTGTGAGTCAAATAAGGTACATACCTACCTATACTGTGCCAACTTTTAACTCTAAATTTGAAAATGTGTTTACAAATGGCAATTGCCAATAGATGACATTATTGTCAGCAAGCCCATCATGAGATAACACAGTTATGAATACCTATGATGTACAATCATAGACGTGTGGGAAGCACTAGACACCAAAGCAATAAAGTAGGGAATCCAAAAATAGATTTGCCTCACTCGAAAGTTAACAGAAAAGAGACTGAAGAAAACTGCAAATATCAAGGTGTGCTAAGTAGCAAAAGAGTCCTACCTAGAACCTCCTATCATAAAGTCATCCCCTTCTACCTCTTCCCCCCCCCCAAAAAAAAACTCCGTGCCGAAATATCGAATAAAACGCTACATAATATGCAGACAGCCTATCAATAAACAGATTACCAAAAGATGATAAAATGCGGCGAAAGCGTCATAAATGTCACTTAAGGAAAGATGGCCCCGCGATGAGAATCAGAGGAGACAAAAAAATGACGTCTTTAACAATAAATACAGTCATTTCGCTTCACAATTGAATAATTTTCAAAAAAATTATATTACTTTGCAATACATATTGAATTTTAATCAAACAACAAATGGTAAATGCACTTCAATAGGACAAATGAAATGATGATGACGTCATATTGATTTACTTTCACATCATCGACTCAAGGCCGGATACCATGTTCCACGCTACCGAGAATGGTAGCATGAAATGTGTTTTCATTCTACCAAGAATGATTACAACTTCTTTTTGCTTGTGAATTTTAGTGAATTTGTGTTAAATCATAGCAAGTAATTTTATTTTTTGTGATCGCTTATTCTTTTGGATTTAGATATGTGTGGCTCAGTGAAGAGCACGTTTCTTCCAGATGTACCTATCTCACATGTTCTTCTCACATTAACTATTTCAATTTTGCTTTTGCAAGAAGCTCAAACTTTACATCTCAGCCAGTGTGATATAAGATGAAGATATGCATCATTATTTTAAGTGACTAGCTTCTTGCATTATTGCTGTATTATTCATCATCAGGTGGTTTAGTGTCAAAGGGGTGTGGCAAGAAGTCAATACCTTTTTGATAACGCAAATTTGAGGGATAATGCAATGTTTTGCATTATTCTTTGCTTACTCAGCTTCAGTTGTAGGCTGTAGCACATTTTGAAGCAGAATAGGCTTGTCTCAATATGCTGTTTGTGTTGTATGTCAGATTAGGCCTATTGCCCAAATGCCCATTCCCTATTGCATATGATATTGCTTCAACATTTTTAGTTTGCAATATTTTGCACTCAAAACCAGGTGGCGGATATCTGTTATTCTAGTTATCATGTGGTACATACAAACATGTACCTAATATAGATCAATTCTACCATCCTCTCTTTCCATATCCAGCTTTCGGACATTTTTCGGACAAATCCATGCTTTGGACATTTTTCGGACAAAAGTGAGCTAGGATTTTGGACATTGGACGGACATCGGACAAGAAATCTCTGAAATTGACACCTCTACCTCCTACCCCTCCTACTCCCCCCTCCCCTCCCCCGCGGCCTACCATCGAGCCGTCGGCGGCGATAGTGCCACAGCTGATCTGCTGCTCGCTGATTGGACGGATGCCGGATGTGGGCGTGTCAGAAGCGTGGGAACCGTGGGAACAGCGCGGGAAACGGGAAGACGCGGACTGATGTCCCGCGGTGGGCGGCTGCGTTTTACGTGAGTTGGTGAGAAAAGTGGCTATTGTTGGTTGTGGTTATCGAGACGGTGATGGCTGTTTTCAATGGGGGCGGGGAGGGGCACTATGGGTACGTGGAGCTTTCATTGACGAAACTGAACGGAGAGACCGTATCAAAACCGCGGCGATACGGGACGGAGGTGAAGGGCATTTCGGCTGAACTGAGGACTGAATGGTGAGTACAGAAAACAATATTTTCAGCTTCTGCTTTTATGCTGACATAGGCCTAAGCGCCTCAAGCCTGCGATCAACTCAGAAGTCAGATGTCTGAATGTGGTCATATTTCTGAAGTCTGTGGCGGACGGCCGGCGCCTTTCGCAGACTCGGCAAACGTAGAAATGTTTACAAATGTTAAATCAGTTTGGCTGTTAACAGTGGCGGATCCAGGGGGGGGGGCAAAATGGGCATTTGCCCCCCCCCCCCCCGAACAGCATAATTTTAACATTACGCCTATGGACGATGCATGGAAAGAATCGATAAACTGCTATGGTTTGCCCCCCCCCCTGGATCCGCCCCCAAAAAAACTCTGAGCTGGATCCGCCTCTGGCTGTTAATAAATTCCATCGGGAAGGAAGAACAGTTTGGCGTGCAGTGTTCCTGAGATTCGTGATTCGGACTCGCGAGCATAGGACATTGATGAGAACGGTGGGTTAGAATTAGAAGGCAGGTATCCCAGGTTCATACTTCATTATCTCGGCAGAAGTCCTCCGTTATCTAAATCCTGATTGATGTGTGTTACCTCCCTCCTCCCATTAGCGGCCCCCGACCCGACCCGACCTCATCACGCCCTGTGCGCGCTCCCTGGGACGCCACCAGCCGCCGCTCAGTAATGTGGGAACTGGGGAGGCCAAGGGACACGGCCGGTCACCTGTCTGGTCTGAGCGGAGGCAGCGTGGAGACGAGTCAGGGCACAGACGGGACGGGTGATGGAGCGGTCGGATTAATGTCTTTGCGCGCCGCGGTGCGCTGAGTCGGGCCAGGTCGGACGGCTCGACGCTTAGGGAAAGGGGCGCCGAAAGCCCCCTTCTCCCCGTTAGGCGCAGGTTAAATGCCGGAGCGCCTAGCCGCGTCTCGGCCGGACCACCCTGGGTCGCTGTGGAATTGAGGCGTGGAGGAGAGGCCTGAAACGGACGGGGAGGGGGTGGAGACGCCCGAGAGGGAGCACCAACGCCGGCCGCCAGTGCATCCACGTCCGTCGTCCAATTCCGTGACTCAGATGACGGTCCAGACTCCAGCCGCCAAATGACAACGGTGCAGCTCTCTGCTCAGATGGGCTATAGGCCCAGCTCTGATGGACTTTAAGTCCAGCTCTGGTGGACTTTGGTCCAGCTTTGAATAGCCAGAGCTGCGTGGCCCAAACAAAATACAAATGAATATGTTAGCGGGCTGGTAAGCACAGCTCTCATTCCGCCGTCTTTACAGGCGATTTGTAACAGGCTAGTAGAGGCGGTATTGTGAGAAAACGAGCGAAAACGACAATATGGTAATTGGTAACTATGTGTTTTCTTGTTCCGCGCTTTACCTTATGACCAGTGATCGTATGCGGTGCCTTTTTGATACCGCAACGGGGGATCGGGATGGGTCGGCCGGTCGGGCCGGGGTGGGTCGGCCGGTCGGGTCGGGGTGGGTCGGCAGGTCGGGTCGGGGTGGGTCGGCCGGTCGGGTTGCCCTGTCGCGGTGAGTCGGCCGGTCGGGCGGGCCCATGCCCCCGGGCTGAGGCCGATCGTGGCGCCACCCCTGCTTCGCCGCCCGATCCTCTAATGTTTGGCGCGCGCGCCGCGCAGTTTGGTTTGAGGAGGCTTCGCGTGCAGTGCGTGTCACCCAGTGGACGGCCGACGCGGAGCCGCGACAGTTTTTACCGGTGGACCGACAGACAGACGGCGTCTGCAGCAGCGGACTGGCCGACGTCTGTTTAAAAAAGGTTCGTCTGAGCGTGACTGACACAAGTTACTGAGTTTCTTGTTTCCCACTTTTTCTACGAAGGTATTTATATCATGCATGCATGCATGGATATTTATTATTTATGAGGTACATTTTATTGAATGAGTTTTTTGTTGGCTACCTCCGGTTCCCTTACTCAAACAGGGCTTACTTGTTTGGTTTCAGATTGAACACCTGAAAATCGCCATATAATTTTAAATTATCGTCTGTCCGCGGCTGGACGATGCCAGTCTCGGCGGGTGCCGGGGTGTCCGGCGGGGACGACCCGGGACTGATGGGGGCGCTCGCCGTCCCGGCGCCCGTGGGCCCGCTGGTGGCCGAGCCGGCCGGCGCGGCCGCCGGCGCCGCCCGGCCGGCCGCCGCCGCCGGGGGTCTGCGGGCGCGGGTCGACAGCGGCGCCGCCACCATCAGCAGCTGCGGCTCGCCCCCGGCGCGGCCCTGCACCGGCCGTCTGTCCTGCTCCGCCGGGGCCGACGGTGAGGACAGCGACCCGGCCGACGACGGCACGGCCCGGTTCAGGGTGTCGGTGACGCTGGCGCGGCGGCAGATGGCCGGCGAGAAGGTCCAGCTGAGACTGCAGCTGGAGGACTACGATAACGTCCTCACCCGGCCCGTGCTGGTGCCGATCGGCAGGGGCCTCGTGCAAAACGTGTTCGTCCTCGTGCACGACCAGACAGAGATACCGCTCGGAGAGGTCGGCGTCATCAACCTGGCGTGGAAGCTAGTCAGCGACGGCCCCGGAGTCGATCCGGGACGGGAGCCAGAGCCGGAGCCGGAAGAGGAGCCGGAACGGGAGGAGGAGCCGCAGCCGCAGCCGGAGGGAGAACCGGAGCTGCAGCCGGAGCCGCAGCCGGAGATGGAGGCGGATCTGGAGCAGGAGCCGGAGCCGGAGGCGATGGATTATGATGAGCTTGGGAATGACGCCAACGATGACCAGAACGCAGCCGAGGCCGATATGCCGGAGCCGGGCCGGGACCGCCACCGCAGCTCGAGCGGCAGTGGCGCCGAGCAGCCGGCCTGGCGGGTGCCTCTGATGGGTGCTCTGGGCGCGCACCACCAGCGGCTGTACCGGGGCGGCGACCCGGAGCGGCGCCGCGCGCCGCCGCCGCCGGCCGAGCGCCGGGAGCGCCGCCGGCGCCGGCTGGAGATGGTGCGCTGGTCGGGCCGGCCGCTGGCCGTGTACGTGATCGAGGTGCTGGTCTACGACCGCCGGCTGCGCGGCGCCCAGCGGCCGCCCGTCCGGTTCCCGGTTGACCGGTGGCTGCGCGGCCCGGTGTACCGGCTCAGTCCGCTCGACTGCAGCCTCCCGCAGGAGGTGGAGGACCCCTCTCAGGTGACCCTCCGACAGGCCGAGCTGCTCTACAAGGCCGATACGTACGGATACCGGCCGCTGCGCTTCGACGGAGCCCCGATCGAGGTACGGAGAACGGATGGAAATAGTGCGGCGGGCATTTAATTTTGTCAGCATCTGATTCAACTCTGCTCGTTCTCAGAGGCGGATCCAGCTCGTTTTTTTTTGGGGGGGAAGCCATAACAATTTATCGATTCTTTCCATGCCTCGTCCATAGGCGTAATATTAAAATTATGTCGTTTGGGAGGGGCAAATGCCCATTTGCCCCCCCCCCCCTGGATCCGCCACTGCTCGTCCTCATTTCTTATTGTAGAGTGGAAGCTAGAATGGTTTGGGCCGTTCTAAAAATATTCAACGCATTTCATTTGCGAGAGCTCTTTTGTCACCTTTTTATATAGCTACAAAGGTTTACGTCAACCTGAACCCCTTGCATAACGCACGCAAGCATGTGAGTACACTCAGCATCTGAAGTTTCCTCCGAAAGCGTGTTGTGCGGTACAGCCTACCCTCCCAGGGTGCTATCCGGCACAGTATCCTCCCTAACACACACAGACGGCGCTCGAACGTCTATCGAAGTCTCCGCCACTGTGCTGACTGCTGTAGATCGCCGGTTCTGAATTTTGGTGACTTTTTTCAGGTGCCTGACATTCCAGACGAGGAGAAGTTTTACAACATGCACGAGGTGAGGACGACGGGCATGTAACCTGAACATCTATCTACCCATAAGTTACCTTCTTGCAACAAATTAGTATATTTTATCTACACAGGTATGATTTTTTCGTCATTGGGATTTTTATTTTAACTAGCATTTTATATCAGTAGGTATATGGCAATTATTGCCATATACTGATATTGTATATGGCAATCATTACCATATATACAATTATTGTGCTGTGGTCGTTTGGGTCGTGTGTCGGCTTGTATCTGTGATGAACTATGTGAGAACAGCAGCTAAAATAACCACCGTCTGCGCCCGCCCGTCCACAGGCATTCCACACGGCCCGGGAGGGCGTGGTGGAGATGTGGTCCGACTTCGCCGACTCGGAGGACAAGTGGACCTGCTTCTCAGAGATGGAGCGCACCTTCCGACCCTCCGCCCTCGAGACCAACGTGAGTAGACCAACGAGACGGGACGACTATGGGAGCTAGAGAGGTTTCTTTATTTACCGTATTGAGTGAAAACTAGCTGTCGGTGAACTTAAAACTGGAGGTCTTTTCAGCGTGTTAGTGAGGTGTAAGTGTTTGTTTTGTTCACTGGAAACATTGCACCTCCGATAGCCCAGCTGCAATCCTGTGTTTTTGTTCCTTTCAGATAGCGAATGTGTGGGCCACAGACGAGTGGTTCGGCAACCAGCGGCTGGCCGGGCCGGACAGCTTCCTCATCACGCTGTGTACAAAGATTCCCGACAAGTAAGTCAGTGTTGGTCGTTGGACTGAGAGGAACAGCGAAAGGCGATAGTTGATGTGATAATTGATAGAATATGAGAAAGAATTGTCATTTCTTATTTATCAATTGAAGTATCGCCCTACTTCACATTGCGACCTGAAGACGTTCTTATCTGTTTCACCGGTAGAAAAGATGACTGGATACAATTTTTCCAACAACACACTGAGTTATAAAGTGCAGTTACACATAATCACGATTCACACCTGTATCATTATCAAACGACTGTTAAGTGTTAAGTTTACCAAGTGTGCCGCTCCCTCACCGTCCTAACCTGACCCCGCCCGGCCGTCCTTTCAGACTGGGTGTGGATGACGCCATGCTCCGTCCGTTTCTGTGCGGTCTGACACTGAACGAGGCCCTCCAGAGGCGCCGGATGTTCATCGTCGATCTGGAGATTCTCGATGGACTGCAGGCCATTCCGGGGAGCGAGGTAAGGGCAGCTTTGTGACCTCATGCTGCTAACGTGTGCTCTTGGAACGACCTATAGTTGGCGGGTATCACTGAGAATGTGCAGTCGATTTACATGCTGCTTCCTTGGACTGCAGTGTTAGCATCTATCCAATTCTTAGCGTGCCTTTTAGTTCGTTCGGCCATTTAAATCGGTTCCCGAGGTTCTGAATATACGCCTGTGGAATATCGTTGAAAGTATGCTACTCTGTCGTACCGGTGTGCTGACTCGACATGTCCGTCTTGCTGCAGATTTGTGCTCCGGTGGCCCTGTTCTTCCTGAACGGCTCTGGCGATCTGGTGCCTGTGGCCATCCAGCTGCACCAGAACAAGGGACCTGACAACCCGGTCAGTAACGCCATACAGTGAGGCTGGATGTCTGCCGTTGTTGCCTTGTTGGCAGCGGGATTTCCGAGATATTTTATTATTTTATTTTTTTGATCAATTTTGATTCCATTCGGGGTGGGCGATAATGTTGGAAACCCAGTTTTCTGTTCTTGACGTTTCAATTCTTTGGTTTCATGTATCACAAATGACTCAGATCTAAGCTATAAACATGTCCGATTTCAGCATCATCCGCTGACCGGAGCTCTCCCTTCCTTTAACAGGTATTTCTGCCGAGCGACGACGTGTGCCTATGGGTGACGGCCAAGATGTTCTACAACTGCTCGGAGGCGCAGCACCACCACCTGTGGCTGCTGGCGGTGCCGCTGCTGCTGCTCGAGTCGCTCACCGTCGCCGTGCACCGGGCCCTCTCTCCCTCCCACCCCGTGTTCCGGCTGCTCGCCCCCTACCTGCACCGGCGGCTGGAGGGGGCCAACCTGGCGCGCCGCCACCTGCTCACCGCCGCCGGCTGGCTGGACCGCTGCGGCCAGCTCACCCCAGACAGCCGGCGACAGCTCATCGCCCGCATCCTGGAGCGCTGGCGTCTGGACCGAGACGGGGTGGTGCCGCGCCAGGTGGCGGCGCGCGGCGTGGCCGAGCCGTCCGTGCTGCCCCACTACCCGTACCGGGACGACGCCACCGCCCTGCACGCCGCCATTGAGCGCTACGTGCGCGCCTCACTGCGGGCGGTGTACGACGACGAGCGCCGACTGGACGGTGACTGGGAGCTGTTCCAGTGGCGCCGGGAGCTGGGGAACACAGAGCAGGCCGGCGGCTGCCGGATCAACGGCGTGCGCGGAGACTGCATAGTAGGTCAGTGGGGAGAAGTGGTAGTCGATGGTAGAAGGCTCTCTTAGTGGTGGCCAGCTAGAGTAGCAGACCTGCATGAGCATTCGGTATTTGATATGGTATAAGGAGGGCATATATCGAAATATTGGCTGCAATAGGTCTTTTCTAATCTTTTCTAATTCTTCTAATCTTTTGATATTACGTGTTTCGGCGCTTGTGTTATTAGCTTCAAACAATTCTCAGAAGATTGGGTCAATGTCGGCGTCCCAGCGTTCTCACTTTGACCGTTTCCGTTCCACTCCGCAGGGTTCTACCGGCTGGACGAGGTGGTGGATGTGGTCACAGCCATCATCTCCACCTGCTCTGTGGGTCACGCCGCCGCCAGCCGGTCGGCGTTCGCTCAGTACAGCCTGCCTGCCAACTACCCTCTGCGTCTGCTGGGCCGTCCGCCGCGCTCCAAGGAGCTCCTCCCAGACATGCTGTCCGACATGGTAGCTCTGATGTCTGGGCCACGCGCTGCGCGAGAGACGGCCGCCCTGGCGCGCCTGCTGACCAGCATGTCGCCGAACGTGGTGCGCGAGTACTCCTCGCGGCACCTGTGGCTGCCGGCGGCCGTGGAGGCCGAGGAGGAGATGTGGGAGGAGATGAAGAGAGTGGCGGAGGAGGGCGACAAGAGGAACGCCGAGGCCAGGTTCCCGTACCGCTGTCTGACGGCCAGCTGCGACGAGATCATGTACGAGGGGATGTGGTCCTAGATGACAAACCACTGTTGGGCGGCAGGCTGTGAAGGGGCTCTTGAAATGCTTCGAACGGCGGAGAGCTACGAAGGTCGCTAGTGCTGGAGGGTCTCAGTGGACTGGACTCTGCGTGAGGAGGGAGCTTCAGCGAACACTGAAGGACTAGCGAAGAAGTTCAGGAGCGCCAGTTCTTGATAGAGGAGGACTGTGACCGTGACCCACGCTGCAATTATGCCGCGTCCGGTGAGATAGGTACTCAGGGGAGTGTTGTTAGAAGATTAGTTTGGAGAGATGATGGAAAGACTAACTAAGATCTCGTTTGCATACGGGTTATGTGTCGACTTCGTGACCGCTCAATCAGTGCTCATCAGAGTACGACTGCTCAGACCATTCGGTCGGCGACTAGCCTTGATTGGCGTCAGGAAGGTGGTTTCACCTGTTTTATCGACTCTGCCGAAGCCGAATATCACTGGGTAAGAGTATGTGATTTGTACGCGTTTCATCAGCCGACGTCTTTCTAGCTGATGAAGAGGAAGTTTTTCCTCTGCCAGCTACCGATCTGCCAAATGACGATGCCGATACGCGTTCCGTGGAGTGAATTTAGTACGCAAGAATAGTTGAGGGTTTTTACGATTGATGTGTCCATACATGCCTCGCACTGCATCATTCGCCTGTATTTGGACTTGCTGGCGAAATCATGAATACATCGGACACCAGAGCTTTCAGAACGTTTGTTGCTGGTGAATATGAACGGTCGCGAGCCGCCCATAGGCGAAGAGGATAATTTCTGTCCGTCAAACCCAAAGCAATCAAAATGTCTGGCTGAGGGGTGTATTAAAAATCCACGAAGGGAAGATGAGCGATGACGGCGATCTCAATTAAAGCATGATGAGGGCGCATAGGGGTCACGTCAGTGCCTCCATACCATCGTCACGACACCGGCACCCCTTTCAGCCATGATGTAGTTCGTGATGAGTCATTGGACCGGGAATCGCCGTAACATGAGCGCTGGGTATTCCGCTTTGGTCTGCCTTCTCACAGCCACTCCAAGTCACAGCTCACAGACCTCTCTTCACACCAGACTTATTCACAGCACACACCTCGCTCGTCAGTCGGCAGTAGCGCAGATCTTTTAGCCGAGTTCGCTCTCGCGTCATAGGTCGTGACACCTGTCGCGCCTTCTCGGCTGTCCCGGTGTTTGGAGGTTGTCTCAGTAGTCGGCCTTTTTGGAGACGACAGCCCTGGGCACACAGTTGGGCAGCGACAGCCGCGGGTCCAGCCACTGGTACGGGAACGGTACAGTAGCGTTCCTGCGGGCGATTTTCCGAGAGAGTTCTTCCAACTCCTTCCGTAGCCGGGCGGCCGCCTCGGTGCTGGCGGGGTCCAGCAGCCAGCGGTGGCGCGGGTCGGCCAGCCGCGGCGCGCGCGGGCTGCTGAACAGCTTCCACAGCAGCATGATGAACCAGGTGTGGCAGCGGCCGGGCAGGCGCTCCAGCAGCTCCGCCGTGCTGGGCGTCTGCTCCTTGGAGCGCGGCGGCAGGCCATGCAGCATCAGTGGGTAGCCGGGCACGAAGCCGGCCTCCTCGTACAGGCCGAGCGTGGCCGCCGCGTGGCCGACGGTCACTGTCGAGATGAAGGCGGTGGCCGTCTCCACCACGTGATCCAGCGTGGTGAACCCTGCCGACCGCACGGGGACGGGTCTCAGCGGGGGTGGGAGGTGGGCGGGGGTCGTGAGATGTGCAGCTCGTGTTCGTGTGCGTTTTTCGTTGTAAAGGTATGATTTTTGCACGAATAATTAAAACGTCGCCGAAAAACCTGCTTCACACTATTAAAATGCATTGAGCCTGATTCGCTTCAGAGGCCTTTTTCACTAAAAACTTGTATTTACAAGCGTTTGTAGTTTACAATTCATAAGTATTTTTACCAACTACGTAAAAACCGATTTCACTAAGCCTCATCGCCAGTGTCACCTCCGATAAGAAAATGTTTGCAAATAAACTTGTAAACAGTAAAAATCAGTAAAAATGTTTTTAATCAAGAACTATAGCATGTTAAAGATATTGCTTCTTTGTATCAAATATTGTCTAGTATTCATGTCAAAAGCTGCCTAATCAAATTATATTTAATGATGCTGTTGGAAAAAGATATAAATGATAACTATTGTCCTATTATTGTAAGAAAATAACAGGCAAAACATTTGACAGCAGAAGACTGTTGAATGCAATTATGGCGCGCGAATGACAAAACTTGACGATATTTTAAAGGGACCCTCCCACCTTCAAAAAAGTTAATGAATTGGCATGAATGTGATGTCCCTTGGTTCAGAAAGAGCGAAAACGAATATCTACCAAATTTCACCGAAAAATATTCACTGGTTTTCAAGATATTAGGCTTTTACTTTTGTTTACTTTTTGGGATCTCCCTGTTACTAGCGACTTTATTTGGAAGCAATAATTTGGCAGCCTTAAAGTGCGGCAGACGTTGCGCGCAAAGCAGCGTATACCACCACGTGTTAACGATGGTTTTAGTCTAAGATTTAAAAATCGTTAGATCTCCGCTGACGTCACAAATTCTAAGGGGGCATACCAATGCATTAGCCCCTTAGAATCCGAAAACTGCAAGTTTGAAATTCCATATCTTCGAATTAAAGCATTTCTCGATGTTGTGAGTGCCCAAACCGGTATTTGCAGGCCATGGCCACCAATTTGGCTATCTCAACTCAAAACTAATGTTAAGGTGGGAGGGTCCCTTTAATACCGATTATTTTGCTTCGAATGACAAAACTTGACGATATTTTAATACCGATTATTTTGCTTCTTAGGGTGTGTGCTAAGTAAAAATTGAGCATGAAACGACTCAACAAAGCATAGTTGTTCTAAATATATGACTGTTTTGCATCATTGCACAAAAAGTATCAAAATTCCGAACGTCAGGACCACTGGAATTTCAGGTTTGTAATTACGATGTTTTCTTTTTCAAGTTTCTGGTCTTCGTGAAACAGAAAGTTTGCGATTCCCATGTTTTCTAGCAAACTTTTTCTTGTAAAAAAGTTTGCAAATTTTAAACTCAAAATTCATGTTCAAAGGTTTCGTGAAATCCAAATCTCAAATGTTGGTAATTATTTCTTGTAATCTCAAGCTTTTTCTTTGTAAATACAAGTTTTATTTGTTAGTGAAACAGGCCTCTGATGTCATTCAAAAGAAGACGACATTTTTATTTAAAAAAAAAACCTAGCGACCGATGACATTATGGTTACATCACTCCCGCTAGATGGCAGTAGTAAAAACGCCTGAAGTTATGCTGTGCCGTCAGACTGTTACACCGAACGGGGGGAGGCGGGGGTCGTGAGCGTGCAGTGTGTGAACCCGGTTTCGGACATCAGGCTTCAGAAGCAAAGTTAATGGTACCTGGCACGGTTAACAGCGACTAGCGAGCTATTATACAAATGGGAAGCAGCTTTGAAAAAAACTACTAGCGGCCATTGACGATGTTAAGATTACATCATTCCCGCTAGATGGCAGGAGTAAAAACGCCTGAAGTTATGCTGTGCCGCACGACTCTTACACCGAACGGGATCAGCTCGGCAGAACGTGGGCAGTGCTGTTGCGTGTTGCAACCAAACCAATGCAATCATATGCAGATGACAGAATGTTATCCATGAAAGATCTCACTAGCCATGTTTCTTCTGTCTCCTTGTCAGCGACTGTGAAGCCCTGTTCAGCGCCTTGGTCCCCGTTTACCCCGTTACCTGCCACCATGTCTCCCGGCACGCCGCGCAGGCCGAGTCCTCCCTTCTGCGCGGGCCGGACCAGCTCTCTCCTCCACTGGAGCAGCTCCCAGTCGCCGGCCACCCGCGTCTCGTCCGTGTAGTACGGCTCCAGACAGGCGCGCACGTAGCGCTCAATGGCGGCGTGCAGGGCGGTGGCGTCGTCCCGGTACGGGTAGTGGGGCAGCACGGACGGCTCGGACACGCCGCGGGCCGCCACCTGGCGCGGCACCACCCCGTCCAGGTCCAGACGCCAGCTCGCCTTCCTAGAACGTACGGACAAGTAAATTTGCTAGGCGTAGATGTGGTAATGATTTCTTTGTGACCATCGAACGATAAACCCCACGGCGTATGCTTCGCTAGCAAACTACATTCTTGCTCAACACATCTTGCAAAGTAAAGCGTCAATTTATAGACGGCTGACTATTAGAGATCCCACAGACAGCATCATGGCACCAGGAAATAGTGATTACTCCTATCCGGCTCTGTTCAGCCCGACTCACCCTCGTCTCATGAGCTCCTGGACTCCGGCGCCCTTCAGCATCATGAACTCGTACATCCACATGCCGGGCTCGAGCAGCTCCTCCACCGTGACGGCGTTGGTGATCATCAGGTGTCGGAAGTGGGGCGCCAGCAGCCGGTGCAGCGGGTGCGAGGGGGAGAGGTTCCGCTGGGTGCACACGGCCACCCCCTCCATTAGCAGCCGGCCCAGACCCATGTGGGTGAGCACGGTGTGGTGCTGCGCCTCCGAGCAGTTGAAGTACATCTTGGCCAGCAGCCACAGGTTGGCAGGGTCGCTCGGAAGGAATACCTGTCAAACACGGAGCGGGGTGGGAGAGTGACCAAAGGACCCAACAAGATTATACGGAATAATTAGCGGAATAGCAAACTGCTAATGTAGCTAATGTAGAAAATTAGCGTAATAACAAGAAGCCAGGAAGACATCGCAAACATTTACACTGACGTCGAATAAATATTCCTCCTTTTTTCTTTCGATAACAAGAACATTTTCCATTATGAGAAATACAGGCCCACGTTAAATATTCGAATTTAAACGGCGTATTTTCGACCCAGCACTCACGGGGTTCCGTTTCCCGGAATACTGGTACAGCTGAATGGCGATGGGCAGCAGAACATTATGCTTGTTCAGGTAGAACAGGGCGATCGGGGCGCACAGCTGAAACGGTGAAGTGAGATCAGAGTTACTAAACACTTATACGTCTTACTTACTGGTGCGAAACGTAAAGATCTTGCGAACGGTAGAGCCACGGGTAGAGCAATGGGCTTTATCGTACTATATTCGCATTCGTATGCATATTTAGCAGATGGTTATGAAAAGTCACATGTACGTCTCGCAATGGTAATTAAAGCTTCATATTTATGTGAACATAAAACAATAAGCTTACGTTCTAACTCCACATGTTCTGTTTACTCGTGTTTTTTAGTCGGCAATGGTGCACTGATGCTTCCACTCCAACTATTTCAACAATATGACCTTACACGACATGCTGATATTTACCTGTTTGAGATAGTCGGTGGGCCGGACTCGCTCCTCGGGCAGAATCCCCTCCAGAATGTGCAGGTCCACGATGAAGATTCTGTTGGCGGCGAGCGCCTCGCCCAGGGTAAGTCCTTCCAGGAACGGGTTCACCATGCTCGCCGAGACGCCGAAACTGAAATACGTACATGCGGTAATTCGTATCTGCTTGATGAGCCATGCACGGATATTACACGATACGTTTCACCATAAGAGTTGTCCGTTATACTCATAGTAATGCGTAAAACACTTTCGATGATTAAATATCTAACGTATTTCACACCTTTTTTAATTTTCTGCTTTTATGTAGAATTTAACGGCTTCCCATTAAATAAAAAGGTCATTAAATCAAGATAACTGAAGCAAAATCATATTTGATTGTTCATGATTCTTCGAAATATAAGTGAAGGAAGATGAGCTTTAAAAAATCACAGTCCCAACTCCTCACTTTCTCGGAATGGTGGTGCAGAGGGTGATGAGCTTGGCGTTGACCCCCTGCACCCGCTGCAGACCGAACCATATATCCGTGGTCCAGTGCAGGGCCGCCTGGTCAAACAGGACACCACAGTCAGAGTAGAGACTCATGAAATGCAGACGAGACTCTCCTTGGTAGTTCAACTTTTCGGATGAACTATAAAGACGGTGTTACAGTTAAAAATATATGATATTCGTTATATTACCGACTAGGCAAGCAGTTTTTTCCTTGGTTATCAATTTCATATGTGCCGTTTATGCTTACCGTTGGCAGTCCAAGGGTGTTGGCGCACGCCTTCTGCAGTTCGAGGAAACTGGACCACTTTTCGTGTGTGCAGAATGTCGGGCTTTGTAGCACCATCATCTCGTTGATTTCATCGGTCAGCTCATCCTGAAACGCAGCAATAGGATTGCCGGCTAACAGCACATAAGACGAGGTAATATAGTCAAATATTGACCAGTTTAACCCGCGCCCGGCTGGGGGTCCTGGATCTCCACGCCCTGCTGGGGGGGGGGGTGTTTGAACACCCCCCCCCCCTTCTAACTCGGCTCCTGGGCCACGTAGCGATACGCGGAATGCGGCGTTGGAAAGAGCGTCAAAAATAATGAGGAAATCACTTCGGTCATTTTTTTGGTCAGGTCAAAGGTTAGGTCACCAGAGGTCATTGAAGGCAAAATTTCGCTGATTTCCAGGTCGAATGTCGACAATTTCCAAGAAGCCAACGCATAACTCGGGAACCAATAGAGCTACAGCGCCGCGGAAAAGCGCATTCGATAGCCCTATTAACGCCCTTTCTGAGCAATTTTCTCAGATTTGACCTAACGTCAGCGGTTTTGCCTGCAGGGGGCAAAAACTGCAAAAATAGCCGATTTTTTTCGGAAACAGTTTTTCTGCAACAACTTTTGACCCAAGCCTTGTACGAGCTTACTTTTACCGGCATCGTGTTCCTCTCGTCAAGACGCATCGAATGAATTATAACTTGACCTTGAAAGGTCAACTTGAAAATTTGACCTCAGGTCAAGGTCATGACCTGACCGGAAAGGGTCATGTTGCATATCAGTCGATCCGTGTCGTCGAGCTGAACACATCTAAGGCGTTTTCATTGCTCTAGCATGCCTCTATCAAAAGTTATTTGCGAAAAACTGTTAGATACCATTCGTGACCTAAGATGACCTCAGGGCATAAACAAGGGTCACGGACACCATTTTCATGTTCAGTGTGTCTAAACCAATTGTAATTCAGTGTTTGGGAGTATTTATAATGTATTTCGTCCAAAAGAGGCGCATTTCAATTTTCTCCCGTTGACTTATAATGGGGAGGTCGCAAAATTGACCTGACCTTAGGTCATCGATATCAAAATTCTGAGATATACATTTTGTACATGCTGTTGCTCTTAGTAATCGCTGAAAGTTTCAAAGCGATCGGTCACTCGGTGTAGCTATGACAGACATTGAAACTTTTTATGAGGTGAGGTCACTTCAAGTGACCTGGTGACCTGACCTTGAATGACCTTGGTCTGAAATTTTCACAACATGTGTAAAATTGATGTATGATAAGGTGTATCGCCGCCGTTTTTGAGATATTCGCGAAAAACCACAAGGGGGTGTTCAAACACCCCCCCCCCCCCCCCCCCCCAGCAGGGCGCGGGTTAAGCCAACATCTTGTACTGAAGAAGTTGTCATTTCCAAAATCATTTAAAGAATTTTTCCATAAGATAAGCTTCATAGTCTTGGCCAAACGAAGTACATACAGTGGTAGTGCGACGCATTGCAGCGTAAGATTTATGAGTTAAGTGCGGAATACGTACCAGTTCAATGAAAGATGGACACTCTTCGAACGGTAGATCATCATCCTGAAACAAAACAAATAGCTAGGTCATCTGTCTACGAAGAGACAGCTTCTCACGACCACCTGACCAGGAAATGCCGGAATATTCACTTGTTTCGAAACGGTCACGAAGCGGAATCATTTAGCGAAACATAAAACGGCCGCTATCACTGTGCATAACTCGCAACATTTCCAAACACTAAATCTCGCAGGCCGCACCTCATAATAGAGCTGCACAGGCCCCTCCTTGAAGATCTGGGCGTACTCGTAGAGGGCCCGCCGGTCGACCAGTTCCCTGGCGCGCTGGGTGACCATCTCCCTGTCCAGCACGTCCTGCGGCAGGCGGCAGTCGAACTCGTCCAGCCGCATCTGGAAGCCGGCCTCCAGCCAGCGGTGCACGGGGAACACGTGTCGCCGCCGCAGCCGGCGGTCGGTCACGCCCACGGCGTCCACCAGCCAGGCGTCGCCGTCCTGCCGGCCGCGGCGCCGCAGCAGCAGGGTGGCGATCGCCCCCAGACCGCTCACGTGAGGCAGGATGTAGAAGTCGACGCTGCCCGGCCGAGTGCTGGACAGGTAGGGCAGGCTGAAGAACGGGCTGTCCCGGCCGGCCGCGTCCCGGAACTGGGCGAACACGTGCGACTCGCTGGCACCGCCCGACCAGGCCTTCTGTAGGGAAACAAACGGGGAATATTGAATATTTATTGGCGAAATTTGTGTTTCTTGCCGGCAAACTATTCGAAACTTTTCTTCTAAATCGTTGTTCGCAATATGCTTTTAATTACTTTCTTTAACGCATCTTGTTCAATAGGTTTTAGTGCATTCAGGCTTTAAATTGCAGAATCATACATAACACGTCAACGCTTAGCTTTAGATTTAACGCCTAAATTCTCAACTCATAATCACGATTTTAACTCGTTTGGCATAAAATGCAATCCTTATAAACACCTGTATTTCTATCGTGCCGCTTGTGTCAATTCGTGCCCACCTGCCGGTCTCCTGTATGGACGGTGACGACGAACCGATCAGAGGGTCGGACCGCACTCTGCAGGTCACACTCGCCCTCTGGGAACATCGCGGACGCTGCCCCGGGCTGGGCGGGAGCCGCTCCGGGCTGGGCGGGAGCCTCCCCGGGCTGTGAGGGCGGCGCTGCGGGCTGGGCAGACGGCGCTGCGGGCTGCGCGCCTAGCTGCGACGACGGCACGGGGGCCATGGCTGCTGGCAGGTGCAGTGGTGACCGTGTCCGTGAGGCTGTTGATACCTTGACCTCTGCCAGAGGGACAGCCGAAAGGGGAAATATATGGTTACTGTTCAGTGTTCAGTATTCGATTGCATCATGCACTGTCAGGGGACAAGGACCATATCTGATATCCATGAAGTATTTGCAGTTTTATCTCTTTTCCTTTCGTTACTAACGAAGTGTTTGTCCGATTTTCAAAACAACCTGCTGTTATCTCTATTACTAAGCTACCAGGAAACGTAGAAAAATGTAGCGGGAGTCCCGCTGCCACGAATAACTGCTTTTCTACTTAAACTTCGAATATAAAAGATAAAAAGAAGGCAGAAAAGTGTTAAATTGGCCACAAAGGCCGTATCGTCTTGTCATGACCCTCCCTGACCATAGGCCTCGGAACGGGGAGGGCACCGGGACACCATACCCTCCTTTGATTTTGGCATCTAGCCTTATGGGCGTTGCATGGAAAGAATGGGACCAAAAGTGAGCAGTGCCCCTCCCCCCTTAATTGAAGAGCGGCAGAACAGTGTTCCGCCGCTACTGCCTCCCTCCATTTATGTAATCTACCACAATTTCTTACCTGGTGGTTGGCTGCTCGCCTATCCAGGAATCCTCGGGGGCCCTCCCGTTCCCTACACAGCCGAAGCACACCGCCCCTTCGCCGGGCCCCCACCCCTGTGACCCCGTGACCCGACTGACCCGACCCGACCGGCGCAGCGGCCTCCTCGACCCAGAGCGGTCGCCGCGGCCGGGGTCAGAGGTCAGGGGTCAGCCAATCACGTGGCACCGCGTCGTCCCGCCCAGTCACGGGGTCAGGTCCCAGCTCAGTGATTGGTGCTCTAAGACGCGCCTGAAGCGGGGCGTAGAGGTGAAATTTGAGGGTGCATTGAAAGTTGACGGTCATTCAATGCGAACAAAACAAACGAACTTTTCCCTTGCAGAGACGGCGGATGGGGGACGGGGGGGGGGAGCGGTACCTACCGGGATGTTATGTCCGATTTGTAATTCGTCGGACACTAGGTACGTTAGTGCCTGTGCTGCCATAAAGGAAAATTGTTGTAGGCATGGCTAAAGGTGCTTTGATAGTCATTAGTCCGCGTTGTCATCTTACTGTTAGTTGTTACTTTCGAAGCTCGTGCTTTGAGCCGTCCCTCCAGAGAAATCTTCGAGGACGGTGATCACCTTCCATGTTCGAGGTCTCGCTCTATTCGGTTGCATATCATCCAGCTATCGTATAAAATAAGCGGCTTTCTAAACCAAATGACGTTCGACGTTCGTTCCCCGACCCCTTCAAGTCGTCCGAGCTCGTCAGTGCAGTGCACGGTCTTGCCGAATACCAGATTAGCGCGAATTTAATCAAAAACCCGACTTTCGATAAACTGTTATTGATACCTATCAGTGGGTAGGAAATTGTCTGAAGTTATCGGATAGAACCTTATTTTTAAGCCACTTTACCATTTCAGGACTTATATCCCTGCCGAAAGTAGACCCACGCTCCGGGTCCTAAAATCGGGCTATGGTACTGATAAATATGTCCAGTTTTCAACGTAAATTTTACGGAAGTTTCGAGAAGATATATGAGAAAATAGCATATCACCGGATAGCACAATTCATGATGAAGCTGTTTCTGCTATCATGGTAGCTTTTCAATGGATGGTTTTTTAGTTTAATGAGTTAGAACAAGAGCCCTGCATGTGTATCGTTCTCACGATAGTATTTAAAGGTAGACTGCCACCTTTTTTCCACAAAACGGTTTTCACTAGAGCTGAGCCACCTATGTCCCAGACTGAAGTCGGTTTTCCGAAATTCGAACCCGTTTGCGAGAAAGCGGAGACCAAAGTTCAGTTTGATGCCATTTTTTTAGTCCAAGAAAACCGACATCTCTACTGTTTATCGATAACTTTGAAACATGAATTTTCTTATCTTTTGGTAAATATATGTCAAAACTTTGATTGTTTCGAGATCAGAGAAGAATTTTGGAGTGTCAAAATAAAAGTTAAACTTATATATTCAGTAGTTCATTTTTTCCAAAAAAGTGTGGGAAATGGGGTTTAACATGGGCCAGACCCATTCCAAATGAGCCATTATTTTTAAATGTTTTACGAACTTAAATGCAAAATAAATTAAACATGGCCAATTTCTTATGAAATCATATATTAGTAAATCATAAAATACCTTACTTTTTCAAATAAAATGTAATAATCTTATGACCTTGAAGTCTAGTGATGTGTAAACATTGTCGCTAGACATTAACCGATTGATAATTGTATGATAATCGACAATTTTTTTCGCGATTCACGTGATGATACTTTGTCAGGTGAATTCTAAAATTTTGTTTTGTCCAGGGAATAAATCATAGGCCGATCTGAGAAAACTTTTTGAAGGTGGCAGTCTTCCTTTAATAAACAAGTTGAAAAATGTCAAAATGGATAAAAATGGATATGACGAATAGGGCATGGCTGAACTCTCCGCACCTTTCTGAACATAAGCGAGCAAGTTCCAGCTGCCAGTTTTTGCCTATTTTCCGTCAACTCAGCTTTGAACATGTCTAGTCGGCCGCCCTATGTGACCTGACCAAGGTCGGGGGCGGCGCGGCCGGACAGGCTCCAGCCTAATAAACTATCTCAAGCACACGAAATCGTGATTTCATGCACTCCTTGCAAGGTCCGATGCTTCACTTATGCATTGTTGGTCTTACGTGACGTCATTTATGACGTCACTAGGGTAATAAGAGTTTTTCGTCAATAACTCCCGATTAAATTGAGCTAGCGAGTCGAGAAAGCCACCAATGGACTCAGGAAGACTTGCCGAATCGAATGATATGCAACATGACATCCTTCAACCAACTTCGTGATCTGGAGGACTCTAACCTGACCTTGACCCACGGTCAACACCTTAAGTTAACTTCAGCCGAACAAAAAGTATACCATTCGACGCGCCTGAGTGAGGCGAACATGATGATACCAAAATTGCGGCTCTGCGGCATTTTTTCGCGAAGTTATTAATAAAAAAATGAATCCGCGCCTGGGTCACTTGATCTGACCTCAGAGGTCACAGGTTGGCCTGAGACCTTAAAATCGGATACCAGTCGCTGCGTCTCGTAACGGCGCACACGCTCGTTTTTTTCCGCGAGGCTCTAGCTCCATCAGGGGCGAAACAGCGATGGGAGTCGTACCAACCCCCCCCCCCCCTTCGGCCGGCGCGTATTTTGAAAACCAATAAGTCCGGCGAGGGGTAAGTGTCAGTTTTGGAACCAGAGAACCATTTTCAGTGGATCCGAGCGGCGCTGGGATTAAATTCGCGCTAAACTGGTGTACGGCCACACTGTGCAGTGGTCCGACGAACCGTTGCCCGTTCCGTAAGTGCTCGTAAAAACATCCATTGGCTGTCCGGTCCACGTTCCTGTAGCCTTGTCCTAAGCTAACAAAGATCTCTCCCTCCAGGGAAAATCAGGGGTTCACTCCCTCCTACCCCTGGCGTCTGAGGCCGGCCGTAAATTATTGTCCCACGACCCACCGTCCCGTCACCAGCAATGGGACGGACCGCTTTGTGCTTTTCCATGAACACTGGTATTGTGCACTTGAACCTCAATTCCATTTGAACACTTCTCTGATTTATTTAGCATTCTTGCAGTAAGAACTGTGAAAAAGAAACATTGGTACGTACATACAATATATTTCTGCTGAGAAAAAACATTGATTTTAGTTCCAGTATCGGCTCTGATCGGGTGCACAATGCCGGCGCTCAGCTGGTCGGCAGGGGCAAATGCTGTGCCGCAGCACCCGTCAGCCCAAAGTAGCCGCCGCGCGCGTTCGTAGCGCACAGCTGGCGCGAGTCGACGCGCGCGCGCTCCGTCAGTTGTGGCGCGAGTGTGGGACGCAGTGGTTCTGTCGCTGTCCGTGTGAGCGTTTCTGATGCACGTGTGCAACAACTGGTGTTGGTGACAGAGCGGAGCGTTCCCATGCCGACAGCCATGGCTCGGGGAGACGGCAAAGAGGTGAGGGCAGCCGGCAGATTCTGCTGTGATTTGTGCCGCGCTGGTTAATGGATTGTCCCAGTGACGGGGTAGTTAGTGGTGTGAGACTAATTGTAATGGGCACGTACCATGTTGATGGATAATGGATACTCAGCATTGTTTGAAGTTCAACATGTCACTTTTCCCAAACCAACAGCCAACGACGGGCCAAACTCCTAGTTCCCAACCCAATCGCACATTCGGAAGTCATGCATCCAAATTCCTGGCTCAACAGTCTTTTATATAGACTCAATCTCTTTGCAAAATCAAAAGCAATCACGGGAAAGGGGAAGAGTGTGGGGGAGAACGACGGAGCCACCCTGGACTTGCCCGGGACCGCCGCCACAGACGGAGCAAAACCGGTCGGTGATCGGTCATCGGAGAGGACGCTGAAAGGCGGATTTACCTACCGGCGACGACGAGCACTGAGCGAGGGGAAGGGGGGGGGGAGTTGCTTCCATATTGTTACCGGTGCACTGGGAGATGTGCAACAGACGCTGTTTTTTGAAACAAGTGCAGCTTTACTGATCCCGACTGAAGCCTGTTTTGCGCTCAAACTCAAATCCATTCGATTTGAGACATACGGCCAGTGCGGGACCCGGGGTCCCATGTGTTCCAGCCTTGCTGCTTGCATCACTTTACTATCATATCCCCAGCCCCGGATGGGCTCGCTTCCTGTCTGCTCTGCCAGTGGTCAGCCGCCCGGTTGTTTCAGCTGCAGTGTTTCCGCCTGTGATGTTCATGCAGCCTTGTCTCACCCATAGATAGCGTGAACCGGATATATCCGGCTACGCTCGAGACCAATGGAGGCCAGTGGCCCATTTCAAGGTCACCGGTCCGGTCCCTGACCCCCTCCCTCCCACGGCACTGTTTTGGTAACAATGACCTTGGCCTGGCTGCGCCCCGCGTGGTGCGAGCCATGTGTTGCAGTGTCAACGGGCTGGGGCCTGGCGGCATGAATGTGGGAGGAGCACACATGGCCAGCTGCTGGCTGCTAGGAGGAAAGACAGACCCGCGGCAGAACATTTTGGCACAGAGTCCAGTTCTTCATTCCCATGGGCGTGCCACGGGGCAGGGTCGACTAAACTCGCATATCGACGGGCGCCGAGGCTCTAAGAAATCCACCCCCGAACCCTGGACGAGCAAGCTGCCCAGTGCCCACACAGCACAGCACTGGGTTTCAAGGAGCTGTGGAGGTTTGAGTCCACGGCTGGCCACACAGCCGGTCCGATGGACTGTGTGCTGTGCAGTGTGGAACTTTGTTGCCCTGTTGTAATCCTCCATAACCCAGGGATAGTGACGTTATCTCTCCAGTAACAGCCAACAGTGGTCAGCTTATACGTACTCCTGTCGTTCATGACGTGCTAGGTCGCGTCAGCTCAACACATCGAGACATCTGTGCAGGTTGCAGTTGCCAGCTGGGACACCCCGCCGGTAGCAACAGCCCGAAATGCAGTACCTACTTGATACACAATCCCACCCAGCTGGCTGTGTAATGCACATTTAGTCATCACCTCTCAGGTCATATCGATTACACTGACTGTGATTCATTGTTTATATGCATTTAGCGACATACATCACCGCTGCTTGTTACCGCCCGGCCGGTCTGGATAGCTGCCGGCCTCGTCACGACCCATGTGACGCTACCGTGACGATCTCGTGACGCCGTTGTGACGGATGTGACGGGTAGCACGTGTAAGCAGGGGCCGGCTGGGTACTTCTGTCGGGTGA